GGCATATGACAGAGGGCCGGACCAGAGTGACCATTGGTGTAACAGAAGTACATAAGAAAATTTCTCTAAATATAGGCTTCTGCAATCTCTCAGTACTACTATTTTTATTAAAATGCAGGCCCACAGGCAGCAAAATGCCCAGGTCTTGTTTAGGCAAACAGTAATGGTTCCTAACAATAGTACGATAATATAATAACAATAGTAAGATAATATAATTTCAGTTTGATGTTTTGTGTTGTAGGTTTGACAAAACGGGAGACACAGCTGAGTCCCAGTCAAAAATATCTTGCTATCAGGTACGTAAGTAACTGTACTGACAAAATTGTTGTTTGGTGAAGTTGGGTATCAGTTCTGCCCTGTTTTTTTTTAGAAATGATTAACTGATGTAAGATACTTAAACATCTGTGTTTTTTCTTGAAGAAGATGCTATGTTATACTTTTGAACTGGACTGTCTCAAAAGTGCACTATTGCATCATTTATTTAGTCCACATGTTGTTGCAGGAGGATGCCCAGTCTGCTGGAATACCTCAGCTATAACTGTAACTTTATGGGTATTCTAGCTGGGCCCACTTGCTCCTACAATGACTATAAGGCTTTCATTGAAGGGACAAATTACCAGCCTCGGCACCAAGACAATGCCAATGGGAAAGAGAATGGCAAATGGAAGCAGAGTGAGCCCTCTCCTCAGGTACACCATACAGTGTTATTCTTTGTGGTCATGTTAGGGCCAAGAACACCATGAAAAGTGCATACATGCTGGAGAACCCTCCCCCAGTCCAGTTCAGTTTGCATGAATAAAGGGGTCTGTTCTACACTGATGGTGTGACAATGTTCTCTCTGTAAATTATAGTGGCTTTGAGGTCAGCCTTCAGTCACTTATTCATTGCTCATTAAGTCACACTAATGTCACAAAAAATATCCCTGATATTTGGTGGGTGTTACACACTAATTCCTGTTGTCTCCTTCAGAACGCCGTGGTGTCCAAGCTGTGCACATGCGCACTCTCACTGGGCGTGTATCTGTCGCTGTGTAAGGTGCTTCCAGTGGAACATGTCATTAATGATGAGTTCCTCTCATCCGCACCAGTCTATACACAAGTGGTCTACCTGTACCTGGCCATGCTGGCGCTCAGACCCAAGTACTACTTTGTGTGGACGCTTGGTAAGTAAACTGCCCAAAGCAATGTGTCCATCCAGAGCTCATTGGGATTTTTCACTCCTATAGTTTGAGTGAAGAGCCAGCTATATTAAGGACTTGAGAAGCAAATGTGGTCCAGAACAAACTCAGCAAATGCTACACACTAGGTGTATAACAGTTTATTGTCAAGGGTTGAGCTGTATCCCTTGTCATTGTCAAACTGTAATGCCACCTAGTGGCTGCAGTTGCAAGCGCTAGACCAGTTATGTACCTAATGTGTGACAAAGACAAGGCTGATATAACAGTCCCTGAAAACATGTCTCTTGAAATTTTTCAGCTGATGCCATCAACAATGCTGCAGGATTTGGTTTTAATGGATATGACATAGATGGCACGCCACGCTGGGATTTGATATCCAACCTCAGAATTATGGACATTGAGGTTTAACGCTTTTTATTTGCTTAATTTTTTTATTTACTTAAACCCAACTTTATATATTGTAATGTATCTTATGTTGTTATTGTTGTATCTGTTTAGTTTGCAACAAGTTTTAAATTATTCCTAGACAACTGGAACATCCAGACATCCCTTTGGCTAAAACGGTAAAGTAGTTCTTACTGTGTGTATCTTTGCTTTTATGTCTTTTTGCTAACTGTGTTTGTGGTTTCACAGGGTCTGCTATGAGAGATGTCCAATCAATCCCACTGCAGCCACCTTCCTGCTGTCAGCCTTGTGGCATGGAGTTTACCCAGGCTACTACATGACCTTTGTCACTGGTATAGTTGTGACGATGGCTGCACGAGCAGTAAGTACTTGATGTGTTCTTTCATGTTTTCACTTCATCTCCTGTGTTGCGACATAGTAAGTTGACTTGTAATTCAATAATGAGTGGAAACATTTGCATTGAAATAATCATTAGTAAGCCCATCTTACATTATACATTGTGTGTAACTTTACTCTTATGTCTAACTTATGACTTTATTTTTGTATATTCAAGTTGAATTACAAATCTTTCTGCTCATCAGCATGATGACAAGCATAATTATTTATAAACAGTTTTATTTTTGTCCATAACTTAAAACAATCAATTTCAGATCCAATAACTTAAAAAGACATAGTAAGTCATAGAAAAACTATACAAATTTTCATTTCAGTTCACGCCAGTCAGTTTAAAAAAAAAAACAAGGACATTTTGCCATACAAAAAGTCCATCTGTATTCCTTTTATGTGAGGATTTACTTTTCACTCTCTGTGCTCAGCTTATGATAAGAAATCATTTATTTTTTTCTTATTTTTCAGGTTCGACACAACATCAGGCCATACTTCTTGGTTTCAGATAGACATAAAGGAGTGTATGATGTCATGACATGGGCTGCTACACAAGTTGCCATCAGCTACACAGTAGTGCCGTTTGTCCTCCTTGCTGTGGGACCATCGCTAAAATTCTACAGGTATCAATGAAAGCAAAATCCTTCTCTATGTTTTTATCATATGAAGGCTGAATAAAGGAAGTCTGCCACTCTCAGCATGAAAAGTGAAGCGTTTACAACATACACTTAAAGGTAGAGTCTGAAACTTGCAAGTGGTGACATTTGTCTTGCCTGACCAGCCAGTCCCTTCTACATTCTGTTTGAATCCTGTTTTGAGTCTGGAATTGAACCATAGAGCATGAAAGTCCTCATCCTAACTTGAAATAATCCAACTCTTAATTTGTATCACACTTCTCTAAGTAATAGTTTGGTGGTTTGTCGATTCTGCAGAAAACCGTGCTGTTTTTTATGTTTTTACAATGACACGACACTTGTATGATTCCATGGAAATTGAAAGTTAAAACCATACTTCAAATGGGGATAGAGAGAATTTTTTAAGTCATACTGTGAAAGATTATAGCCAAAGCAACAACATTTCCATGGAAACAAGCACTAGTCAGTTCTAAAAGATTTTTATGTTCTTTTCTAATATTTGCACTCGTGTTTTCTGTAACACATTTGTTATGAAGTTCAATCATAAAAATGGAAGCAGGAAAATGAAATCATTGAATGTTAACCATTTTCCTGAAAATCTTAAATTACGATTTATACGATTTATATATTGAATACTGGAACTTGTAGAGTTTTTAGGTTGGTGTACAATTGTGGAAGTAAAGATGGCGCATGCACTCTCATTACCACCATTGCAGTTTATAACAGTAGGTAGAGGTTAACAAGGCACTTTATAGAGCTGAGGCCTGAGAAGACCATCCTTACATCTTTGGGCCGCTGCCATGAAATAATATCTTTCCTGTTTATTAGAATCATCCAACCCACTGTGCTAAGGTTCTTTGTTTGACAGATTTCATTTTTTTTGTAAATTAAAAGTCATATTTTAGCCATTAATTTTAATTTATTGTCAAATTGCATCCCACAGTGGGGGTTTGTCAGTGTTGCAACGCAAATACAAAGCACAAGAACTTAAAACTTGATATAGATAAATTAGATAGATTTAACTGCAATACTATAATACCCTTAAGTCAAAATACAGAAAGAAAAAGTAGTAAATTACTGTGCAAGTAGTGTGAAACAGTGGACTACTCACATGGACAACAGCATTTAGATTATGTGACACAATTTAGTCTTAAGTTTTTATCTCGACAACATTTGATTAGTTAATGGTTGACTCGTTGTACTTGCAGGTCGTGGTACTTCTGCCTCCATGTCCTGTGTGTTCTTTTGGCCATGGCTCTGCCTGTGAAGAGGCGCCGCCCACTCAAACAGCAGGACCCTCAGGCGGAACACAGCAGCACAGACAACAACTGCAACCAGAAGGACAAGAGCTCATGAGACTGACCCCCTGCACTGGGACAAGCACCGGGCTGTTTACAAAGAACCAAATATCTGACGGACAGAGAATCACAAACACAAGAAATGTCTTGTCAAATCGTCCTGTAGCAAGGATTATAACGACTCCACTTTTGACTCAGATATGGGATAAATCACATGAGCGCATTGTATAAAGTTAAAGACAAACTGACTCAGTGTTGCCTTGAACCCTCTGTGTACTGGCCAAAGATGGCTGCGGTGTATGTGGAGGATTTCAGTCACTCTCTGCAGATAAGTGTTTTGTGGTGAAACGAGAAGTGTTTTCATGTTCAACAAACAACTGTTATTATCAGCTGCCAATTACAAACAGGCCTTACGATCCTTACAGCTTAGTTTGGTTCTGTCTTTTTTTTTTATTTAACTGAAGATTAATTCATGTTGTATGTGTTTTTGTATGTAGATGTTTGTGATAACACTGTTTGAAATCCATTTGAACTTTCATTTTAACTCGAAAGATTGTGAATCATTAGGCTTCTCAAGTAGGATACAAATATTCTCTTACTTTAGTTGTCTAAAATATGCACTCAAGTGTCACTTCATGGGTTTGTAATTTTATCATTTCATATCTGCTGCTTTCTGACCAATGTTAACTTATCATTTCCATGTTTTGAAGGGATATTATTTACCCCACTGTCTTGTATACTACTTATTTCTGACTGTGTAAAATTTCTAAAACTTTATATATGTAAAAGTGGGGAAAAGCAATTGCTTGTTTACATCACTGGATAAGTAGACATGCTCCAATTTTGGAACTGTGCAATTTGTCATTGGACTTTGAGGGAAGATGAGTCTGTAACATTGTAATAGTCTGAATGCAGTGGAGTTGTCCAGGTCATGATTGTTGTAAAGTGGCTTCTTCACTCTATGGGGCCACACACTGGGTTTTAAATAGTTTCAGTCTTTGTCCAGTCACTGTATCATTCCATCTTGTCCTGCCATTGAGATGCCAAAATCCTTTGCCACTCTGTGATTCATGTCGCTGTACTTTGTGTGTTACACAGCGGTCACCTTTCAGACATCTTTTTTACGTTTTTATGAACAAACATTTGTGGAGCTCCATGTTTTCCATTTTGGTGCAGTTGTGTTGTGTAGTATTCCTGCCATTATGGTGTTGGTATTCATGTGGCTGGTAGCTCTTGTAGCCCGGGCCTGACAAATTAAAGGGACCCTCTGAAGGGAAACAGATGTCATTTTCCGAACAGCAATTCTTGCACTGCATGGCCCCCAAACCAGCACAATGCAAAGTGCTCCATGTGTTAAAAAGTGCCAAATCCTAACTGGCACAACCTTAGTTATCTGTCTGAAAGCCTGGGGTGAGCGTGCACATGTTTATGTCGTATGTATGTGTCTGCTAACATAAGTTATTTTTGTGTGGGGAAAAAGGAAATTTATTGAAAGATTTGTATAACAGTACATTTAAATCCTCACTTATGTGGAAAATAAAGAGAATTATTTTTAAACACAATGAAATGTGAATTTACTTTGTATTATAATAAAATTATATATTATTATATAAAATTATATATAAAATTATTATAAAATGTTATGGCCATCATTTTCCTACTAACTGTGACAATCACAGTCTAATCACCAATCCTTGTGTTTTATCAAGGCAACTAATAATCAAAATATATTTTGGTAAATAACTACATTTATCATAATGAATTGAAAAAAACATGCATTTGCTGATAAACCACAATATAAAAATAAAAGGTTTCTTAAAATAAAGAGTAATATTTTGGGAATACCATGCTATTTTTTAGCCCTGGCCTCAGCTTCTTCAAATGCTATTTTGAAAGAGTTTTGCTGTCTTTTTTTGTGGATTATGTTAGACAAATGTTCTTTAACCCTTCCTTTACACTATCTTTGTTGTTTGCTTTGCTGATGATGAGGATGATGATGGGCATTAGGATGATGCACAGGCCTGGTCTGGGCGGTTCTTGTGTTTGGGTGAGGGGCTTGTGTGACAGCGGAGGGCGGAGCGTGTGGCTGGAGTACTCTGAGGAGTAGTGTTCTTAGAATACAATATGGTACAGTAAAACCACTCACTTTTCCCCCACTTTAAAGCTGATTTCAGAAGAACACAAACGGGACAGATCTGCAGAGTTGGGTGAGTGTACTTTTGACGGCATGGTCCGTGTACAGTGGTTCAGACACGGTTTCAGAGAAAATACTCGGACCTGTGGATCGAAGCTAAGGTTAGCATGTTAGCCTCTGGGAGTTGCTGTTTTGTTGTTGCTTCCAGGCTACGATGCAAAAGCTTTGCAAAACACAACTGACCAAAGAAGTCCTTTGTCTTGGCGAGTTGGCTATTGCAGAGTTTTGGTTATATAGTTTTCATTTGCTGTTCTGATAAACTTGAAACTTATGAGAGCTGAAATCCAGATGTTTATTTTCAGTGCCAGCTCTCAACTCAGTGAACACTGTTGTGCAATGGCCAGTATATTTAGAAGGTTGTGTGCGGGCAGAAGCTGGCCTGAGACCGGTTCTACTTTTTATAATAATGACTTCTTGTCATGTTGGCTTCCTCTCAGTTCTCCTGATGCTTGTGTATATCTAAGCGCTCAGACTGTAATAAAAGTAATGTTTAGTTTAGTTATTGTTTATAAATGTGTTAAGTACTGGAGAAGTTGTATTTTGTATTCCTTTGTATATTTCTTTCATGGATGAACGCAGAAGAGTTTGAGAATAGTAGTTTAGGCTTGAGGAGGAAGTGATATGTCAGCAGTCCTTCCCTTATGACTCAATGGAAATAGGCCGGACGGACTAGTTAAATTTAGACGTCAGATCAGATCCAGTTTATCCACTTCATGCACTGCATTTGTGATCAGATAAAAGCAATTGTGAGTAGCTTTAGGTTTAAGAGGAGACTCTCAGTGCGTCCAGACAACAAGATATCCCTGAATACATCATTTTGATTGGATTATGTTTTTCCCCACCCAGAAATAGGTGTGGTCACAAATGGGAAATACATTCAACATACCTAAATATTGTACACTGACCATATGATAAGATATTTTTTTGTTTTGTCTGAGTAGAATGACTTGAAGATCCCAGACCAGCCACAGACCACAACCTCCTGTATCTCTACTAATTACATTTAAGTGGCTATAAGGGTTTAATGAGGTCCGGTACTAATGGCCAGTGTGTCTGATCTGACTGACAGCCCCTCAGCATGTGCCTATTGTGTAGCAGACATGGGCGTGGGCCTCCCCTCATCTAATATTCAGTCTGGGGGGATGTGAGTGGAGCGCTGCTGTGATAGACTCAGATAGAGAACGCGGTGAGAGGACAATTGCTCCATCTTATGACCCAGGTAAGTTTATTTTAGCTGCCCCACTATTTGTGATTGTTCTGGTTATTATTGGTTTAATTCTGCTCTATTTAATAAGGTTTGGTAAGATGTGGGACCTAGTATCTCAACTGGCCAACAGAGGGAGTGGTGATGGACTGAAAGACTGAGGGTCTGTCAACAGGCTCCGGCTCCCATCAGTAAACAAAGGATTTTTTAAGATATGGACATTTGACCCCTAAGTGATAAACAAACAAACAAAAAAACTATTTGGAAAAATATAGTTTGGTGTGAAAGACTGCTTATAGCCTTTATACTCCTGATTCAACATGTGACCATTTGTGGTTCTCTAAAGTGGAGCTCATTATCAGACTGTTGGGATGGTGATCGAGACAGGAAGTGAGGGAGCGCACTCAATCAATAATGAATGTGCTTTTTAATGGTCGACTAAACAAAAGGCTTCAACTATAAGTGTTCTTTGCCAACATTTCAAGTGGTGCAATTATTTAATTTGGCAAAGATTTTCTAAAACATTTCAATTGGGTAATGACAGAAATGAACCCTGAACTGTTTAGAAGAGATAGTGCCGCTGAGTAAATAATTTTTCAAACTGTTTCGTATTGATTTTGTCACTCATTGCAAATGTCCGCTCTGGTCTTTTGATGTTTTGACCCACCCTTTAAAAGTCTGTCAGTCAGGAAGAACTGTCATTTTGTGATTCTCTGCATTCAGTGTAGCTCTGTATCTCTGTCATGCTCTGAATGAGTGACAAGTAGATTTCATACTGTGGCCCAAAGCAAGAAAAATGATCTGAAGGCTTTTTTGACAAAACGTTTTTCAAAAATAAAAAAGACTTTTGGACATCGGCCATCTGAGTGTGCTATGCATTTTTTCACTTTTATTTCACTCTTCCTTGCATCTGCACCTTGACAAGTAGATTTAACCAATGACGGTGAAGTGTAAACTCTCAGAAGAGGTTGTATTTACCTCTTAAATGCTGTATAAGCTGCTATTAGTGTATCATGAATCCTGATAAAATTGCAATCCAAACATATCAAACTACAGTAATATGTTTTTTTTTTATTTTTATTTAATTTTACAAAGGACAAGAGTGAATTTGAAAGTTTTAGTACAACATTCCTTTAATATGTGAGCCTTGCCAATGCTTTTAAAATATTATCAAGAGCAAGTCAAATAGTGGATATCAGTTTCATGCCTAATATTGCTTGTGCTTTTCTGTCTTTCTTTCTCAGGTGGGTGTTGCAGCATTTAGCGTGCAGCCATGGACACCACCACATCCCTGAAGATGACCTCTCTGGCTGTGCAGAGCCTGTTTGGATATGTGGAGGAGGAGAATCTGCCGGCCATCAAAGCTCACCTGGACAAGTTCAGAGATGTGGACAGCAGGAGCGATGTATGTCTACTATAGGTCACAGCAAATATCCCATTACTATTAGTAATCTAGTAATAGTACTAGTAGTACCTGATCAGTAGTGAATAGTTTATTTCTTCTATGATGCCTTACCAGTCTAATGGTTTTTAATCCACATGCATCTATAGTGTCTGATTGTTTTGAATGTTCACATACAATATACATGCCAGTGTGTCTATAACTCTAGCTCTCCATTTTGAAAAATCTGAATGACTCTACTTGCTAGCACACACTTGTGGTTAGTAACACCTCAAGATATTGGTTTAGGTAGACTACATAAACACATTTGGTATGAAAATGTCACACAAGTTACAGTCCAAGTTGCCGTTCTGGGTTGATGGAGGAATCTTGCTTCATTCAGAATGGACAGACTCCCCTGATGGTGGCGTCAGAACAAGGAAACCTGGAGATAGTTCAAGAGCTTATCCGAAGAGGAGCCAATGTGAACCTGGATGATATAGTAAGCACACAGTTTCATTTATAAGAATATATCATAATAAAAATGTGGCTCACAACAGAAAACACAGAGCCGAAAGTAGCCTGCCCTTAAGCAAAATTAATTAGTTAAATCACTTATTGATTCAACACATGTTTCAAATCTGTCAAAGTCCTTTGTATCATGAAAACGAATCCAGCCCTTGTTAAAGCTCATCCTCAGACGACAGTAGCTGTATTTGGGTTGAGTCAGTGGATTTTAATAATACAAAAGGAGTATATAGTCAAAATTATAATAAAGAAAGCCTACATATCCGTGGTCAGAGCAGTGAAGTCATGGAAGCAGGTGAGTCCTCAGTGTTTATGCCTGTGAGCAGGATGTTTCGTCACTACATGCTCTTTGTGCTGAGCTCAACAGACCAGGGCTTAGTCCACAGCTCAGATGAGCCATAATGACACACATTTAACAACACTTTTGGCTAAATAACAGGATTCAGAGACTGGCCAACGCCCTGCACATCCATGTTAGCCTTCACAAAACACTCACTAATGCTTCGGTCCTCCTCTGAGACAGCCACACGCTCACGTAGTTCACACACATGTATACCTGTAACTGGACATTAGTCTCACAGTGACAGAGACTGAGAGATGAGAAGCACCATGAGCACCTGGTATGACCAGCTGGTAGGTAAGGCCCTGTGTGTGATGGGCCCTGGCTGTGTGGACTCTGTAGGCTGCAGACTGGAGCTCTTATTTTTTACTCTTATGGGTGTTTCAACAGGACAGCTGGACGTCACTCATCTGTGCGGCCAAAGAGGGACACATTGAGGTGGTCCAGGAGCTGCTGGAGAACGGGGCCAATCTGGAACACAGAGACATGGTGAGAAAAAAAAAAAACTGTATTGGATTTCATTTTCGTCTTGTATTGATAGAATATACATACTTTTTGTACGTAATTATGCAGCATTTGCTAAAATGTATCCAGATGAAGTTTAAATTAAACCTGTAATTATAAATAAGGGGCTAAAGTGTCGGTTAATAAATCTGGAAATGTTTTGGGTATTCAACCTTAAAATGCTTTCTAACTCACTGCACATTGTCTAATCCTGTATCTAACCAAAATAATGACAACATTGACAATAAGCCAGACAAGCTGGTAATTTCATACCTTCAGCCTGTATCTGTAATAATTTTTTATTTCATATGTAACACGTTCATATTCATGCAATGTAAATATTAAAACTTGAGTTAAGTTAACGCAGCACTCTATAGTGTCAAGTGGCTTTGATAGTTACAGTTACACCTGTTTTA